CCCGCCACAGCTCCGGCACGGGCAGCCCCGCCACGGGGGCCAGGGACGGGGCACTGCGGGACCACATCCCTCTTTCGAGGGAAGGAAGGGTCTGRTCTTCCTTATGTTAGCAGGAGCGGCAGCTTTTGGAAAAGATGCTGACGCACAGCTAGATGTGGTTTCCCTGGATTGTCCCAGTAAGCTTTGCTATCTATTTTGCACCTTTCTATCCAATTTGTAGAGAAGTTAGAAGCTCTTAACCTTGGTCAGGGCTGTTCTTGGCCAAGGTTTTGCCGATGCCTCTGTTCCCTTTCCTGTGGTGAGAACAGAGAAATGGGTTGTCTCATCTCGCCTTCCTTGCTGGAACTGGTTGCTGTAGTACTCTACCTACAAGAGATGAAAATGCTTTAGGCTCCTCTGGGTTGACAAGTCTATGTCCATTTAGAGGATTTAGAGTAAGTTTGAGAAGAAGCCCCAGCCCCTGGGCAAAAGGAGGATATTGTATTTTCTTTCTGAGAAGTAAAAAGATTTTTTAACTCAGAAGGTATTGTTTTGGAAAATCAGAGCTGACCGCATACTAATTCCATCTCCTTCTCCCCGTTTTGGAGCGATAAAGCATGCATGATGCTGCCTGACACTGATATTTATAAGACAAAGTAGAGGTCAAATTTGCTGAATGTTTTCCAAATTCCAGTGAGGTTTATCACAAAGAGCCCCATGCACAGACACAAGTGGCGTGACTGACAAGGGCTGGATTGTGGAGTCACTGGAAGGCTCAGTTTCCAGCCAATACACTGATGGGCCAAATCATGTTCTTTAGGGAAAAACCTGATGGAATGCTACAACTGTGCAGAAAGAGTCCAGGGAGTTTTCATGGCATAGCTTCTGACATGAAACTCCATTGTGTGGAGCTGGGTTTTCATGCTTCAAGGAGCAGTACTGTCCTCTACCAGCCCTATCCTGCCTAGGTTTGGTGAGAAAGAGCTTTGAACAGGCCCTGTGGGGCACGCAGGAGGCTGCTGCCTTCTCTTCCCTGCATCCTGACATCTGCCCTGGATCTCTGCAGCCTCTATGAAAGATAAGCACTGCTGGGATTTGTTTGCCAGCTCCTGTCCAAAGAAGTGCAGGAAGAAAGTTTTTTTTCCCATATCAGGTGCTGACAGGACTAGCAGAAACTTTTCCAAGGGAGATTGGCAGAAGTGCCCACCAGCAACACGCTACGATTGAGAAACCGGCTCCGTCTCCCCCGCCCCACTCAGACACCAGGCCCACCCCAGGGCTGCTAGTGACACCAAGTGTCTCTGCTCATGTCGGAAGACTGACACTGGGGAGACTTCATTGCACCCTGACAGGCTGACCTGCCAGTGCATTTCACCCTTCTGGCCCAAAGCCATAGGGGATGCATTTGGTATTGCTAAGTCTCAGTTATTTCAACAGAGACAGGCCAGGACCCACCCTAATATTCAGAACAGAAACCAGATCTGGAGCAGGAATGAAGCTGACACCTRCAAGGTGGGCTCAAAATCAAGAGCCTTCCCTCAGTATCAAAGTTTAGAGCAAGACTCAGCAGCTCGTGTTTCCACAGCCACTTGGAACAGACRATTATTTCCACATTTGTGCAATCTTCCTTAAGATGCTCCCCACAAGATACTGGCAAAAGGTTTAACAATGTGTGCTGTCCAGGTAAGGGAAGGACAGGGCAGAGGTGAGAGGAGAGCACCAGATCTCAGGTGAGAGGCATATGCCCCTTCCCACTAAGCAGGAGCTGTCAGAAGTTCGGGTTTATGGGTGCATCAGACAAAACCAACTACTTGGTGAGCTGTGCGAGGACTGTCTTTTCACTCCGCAKTGGTTGCTGAACAGTAAGGCATTGCTCCTTTTTCTGGGTTTTTAAGCACTGTGGAAAACCAAAGGAAAACACAGCTTAGACCACATACAAGAGCACACGTCTGACTTTTCAGGTAGKCTACAAGTGCCACAGATTGCAGGAGAAAATGGGACCATATTCTTGCRAATGGCTAAACCTACAAGCTGTGACTTCGGCCACCCATCAATCTGCTTATCTGCTCTTAACAGAACAGGAATACCTTTCCCAAACAAGCCACCTTACAACCATACCATTTCTGCAGGTGTTTATTATGCCACTGAACAGATAAAGTGTGGAATTAATCTTTGTCCCAAAAGGAAATMAGTGGTCTGCTGAAGGGCTAAAACATCGTTCATTAGACAGTTAACTGAAAGGTTTTCCTAGCCTTAAGGAAAAGACTCCAAGTAACTAAAATTTTCCATGGTAGTTTTACCTTCTAAAATCTAGGACTGATCTTACAGCAGAAAAGAAAGTTCAAGGATTAAGACATTTGGCAAAATTATCATTAGTTCTTTTTTACAACCTTACTGTGTGACATTCGGAATATCACTTACCCACTTGCTGTATGAAATGGGTATAACAGCACTTCTTTACCTCCACCGTGGATCAAAAGGATAAGCATATTAATCATTTTCCAAGATGCTCAGGCAATATGATTAGTGAAGAAATAAATACCCTATGCAGATTGACCTTGGAAAATGGAAAATGCTCACAGCTCTTCTGTGAAGCACAGGTACCTCACTGCTGCTTCTTCCAGCATGTTTATCCAKCATGATCTTGAAATCTTGTCTTCTTTGAGGAGTCACAGAGACTAGCAACAGCAGTTGACTTCCTCTCCCTGAGCTTCCCATCACACAAACAAGATAGGAGGCTCCAAGAAGAGAAATCCCYGTTGACTGTGGGAAGCCATACCCTGGACTGTTTCTCTTGTGGCTGCTACAAACTGTAACCACCTCTGTTTCTTTCCTGGAGGTGATCCTAACCTGGAGGAGATCATGAGTTCAACATTGGGACATGCAATTAGCTTTTGCTACCTGACAATGCTCCCACGACCCCTGAGGTTATCCTGAGTCTCCTGTAGTAAAMTGGAGAACTGCAGGAATACTTTCCCTTGTAGCACAGTAGCTAAATATTACCCGGCCTGTTAGCTGCAACACTGTGCCAAGGATTTGTTTCACTCTGCTCGTCACTTGCACTTGAAGAGAGGTTTGCTAAGGATYAAATCTATGTCTCTGATGAGCTTCTGCACATGAGATACAGGAATAGGCTGTGTGCTTATGCTCTGCCAAGTTCCTGAGGTGACAATTTGAGAAAGGCAATGGGAAAAGTAAAAAAATCCAGTACCCTATTGGTAACGGTACAAATCACAAATTTGAGATCTGATTTTGAAGCATGGTCTCAAGTTTTCCAGATAAGCCAAAGCCATAGATGAGCAGCTTGTGTGCCATTTCTGCTGGTTGCTCTGTATCATCCATTTAGACCATTAATCTTAACTCTGAACAGTGTCACCTCCATGCATTCCTGCTAACCTCTACTTTTCATAGCACCAAGTGCCCTGCAGTGTAGCAGAATTCTTTTTTCTTTTTGCCCATTGTATCCAAAGAAGGGAACAGAAAGATGACAAAAGTCTGTACGAAGCACACTTGTATGTGCCTGCCTGACAGCAGTRTAATTAACTTACCCTTTCAGCCACAATCAGATAAATCCCAAACCAACTTGCATTCTTCCTGTACATATTCAGAAAAGGAAATCCACACGTTTATATTCAAAATCCACATTCAAATAAACCACTGGTCAAATCTTGCCATCTAATGGTGTCTGAAAGCCCCAATTTGCATTTGCAGAAATCTTTCCCCTTCTCCCATCCCACTGCCCCCACAGTCTTCCTGCAGGCTCTTCCAAGATGGCAGGGTCAGACATCAGTGCAGGGACACAACCATCACAGTGTGCTGGTGCTCTCATTACACAAACACTTGTTTTCTAAAGTTTATAACTGAGATTTGATGTTCACTGCATACTGCAGCTTTACGTGCAATGTTATTTCCCGACAAACCAAAGAAAACTTATGACTGTTTCTCAGCTGTGAGACATCAGGAACTGATTTATGCTGGTTGCAATTTGACTTCCAACCTTCAAACTAAGATCCCTTCCCATCCACTTCAAACATTTTGCAGGTAAGTTTTTACACTGTTCATTGGTGATTTCTCATGGAGTTGCCTTCCAGCATCGTTCCTGCCATACCTGTGGGTACTTTATAGAGCCTAACTTTGCAAACCCTCCCTTGGGACAGTCCCTGCAAAAGTGGTTCTGGTGATTCCAATGCCGCTAGATGGGCTTTTCCAAAACAAGGGTAACACCCTTGTTTTTCCCATGAAATCTGTGTATGGAGGTCTGTATGCAGCAATGCTCAGCTCTTTACTCTGTTCTTGGCTCATGCAAGCAGACTGATCGACGGTGTTTTATATGTTTGCTGAACTTGTGCAAAGAAGGCCGAGTCCTTAAAAATAAAACAGAAGGAATGCTGTGGTACTGTACTCTAGTTCTCAAAAATGTTGCTGTGTTGTTTTAGGCTAATGTTCTAACATCACAGATGTTCCCTTTCTTAACATGGAGGGAAAGATCAGAGCACCATTATCCTTAGCTGGAAATTACAGATCTTTATTTTTTAAGCGGATGTAGAATTTTCTTCTTTGGCAGACAATGTTTTTTATTTGATAAGAGGACGAAAACTGGCATGCAGTATGGCCAGTTAGTCAAACAATGTACCTTTATGTTCAATTATATCAAGTATTGAAAGGAGGAAAAATTCCATGGCTTGAATTCACAGATGTGTTCTCCAACATTTAAAATTTGTGGTTTTGCTTGKGTGTATATGATACAATATATCATCCCATATCAAAACACTCAAATGATCCATCAAAGATCCAATGATAAAATAATTGCAAAGAAACTGGAATGCTTCAAAGACACTATCAGGTTCAGTTCATGTACTTTCAGTTCTGCCAAGCTATTCCTCTACATAGAAATAGAGAACATTTGAGATACTTGGACTTAGCTGTGCATCGCCAACAAAACTTATGTGGAAGAGAAGTAAATTGAACAAAAACAAAAAATGGCACCATTTGTCATTATCACTTGAAACTTAAGAGTAAAATTTATTTTTTTTTCCAGAATGCTGCATTTTAACAACAGTTGATCCTCTCTTTAGTGTGAAAGCACTGATGCCTCACTTACATTGTAACATCAATCTGGAGCTTTTATGCCTGGCCATCAAATACCATATCTAGTAAAAATGCAGTGCATGGAGACTGAGTTGTTTCTCTCCTGGACTAAACTTCTTTCTACTTTGCAGCCACAGAACAATGGACTATGAACTTCAATGTACTGACTGCACATCTCAGGTGAGTAAAACAATTCTGTGACTTCACTCTCACACCTCCAGATAATTTGGGACATGGAATAACCCAGGAGCAACCAGCTCCAGTCTCACTGCTTGAGCATGACTTCCAAAAGTGGATGCTCTACACTATATCCAACCCTGTTCTGCTGGGTGCAGCTCCARCATCCTACCCACAGCCACTGCATCCAGGCAGGAAAACTAGTGTAAGCAAGAGGACTATGGTGCCAGGAAGAAATGTGCAAGTTTTATTTTTAAACGTTGCTGGACTGGAAAGTAGTCATATGGCTTATTGATATTGCAGGAGATAGCAGTGAATAAGTTAAAGAAGATTTCATTCCAAAACGCGTTGCTTTCATTTTTAGCTAAGCTAATGTACACGTATATTCTCTTATTTTTGAAAGTGTTGAACAACCACCTTTTTCCCCCCACAAAGATCTGTAAGTACATGCATGGCACTTCCTATAAAGCTATCGTGGGCTAAAGGATTACAAACAATGATTTTTTTTTTTTAAATAAGAGATATTCATCAGACCCAAATATAATTATTTAAATCAACTTCTTCCTGAGCAACTCAGAATTTGGAATGTGCTGAAAAGTTTCAATAAATAAGTCAAAGATTACCAGCTTAAAATGTACCTTTGAACAGTTAAGCAAAATATATTTAATGACAGAGAAACAGGCCATAGGACCAGGAATATTAGATGGCATGTACCAAATAAATTTCAAAATTACCATTTGAGGAGGAAAGGCCAGGTTGATTGTTACAAAAATACAACAATATTAAAACCTAGCGAGTAAATCATTAAGCAGCTTTTGTATTTAGATTATAAGTAGTGATGGCTGAAGATACCATTAAACAGACAGAAACAGACTTTACTGTAAGAGGCAGTGAATTTGCAGGAAGGGTGAATGTGTTAAATGACTATATTCTGTTAAAATGTTGGCAGAAAAAGGATTCAAACAGAATTTCAGAAACATGAGAATACTAGTTTTCTTTCCAAAATATAACAACTCCACAGTGTGTAAACTAATCATTACTCTTTCAATGTAATTTCATAGAAACCACTTAAAATATACAATGCAGCAGATTCATATTTTAGCTAATATGTTAGTTACTATCTGTGCCATTTTCAGCTTGCTTTAATGTGCTCCCCCACAGTAGTGCATTGCTACCACCAACCTGGGATGTTAATAATGAGAACAGAATCTTCTCCCTGGTATTTTCTGCAAGTTAGCATCTTGTCTTAACACTTCTTTATTTTCATTCTCTGTGGATAGGTAAAGACTGAGTGGTGAAGAAGATGGACCATAATGTTTATTGGCTYTCAGCAGGCTCAAGGAAGAGAAAATCCTTGGAAAGCCCATTTGAGGTGATCCTGAATTTATATACTTTATCCATCACAAAATAACTTATGCTTGTTACAGCAAACTGAAGTGTGACCTTGCAAATGGCAGCTCTGGAATAGGAATTGAAAATTTTCTGGTACATATTTGAGAAAGGATGTGAGAGAGACACAGGTGGATATCCTGGCAAGCAGCTGCAATATCTTGTCCCTGCTTCCTTCCTGTGCTCTAGGGACAGGAATTTATTGCTATTATTTTCTATTAGTCCAGCCTTCTCTAGCAACAATGGTGCACAAGAGGCCAAGGCCGCATCAAGACCCCCAAAACTCCCCCTTATTTTGCTATGTAGCAGAAGGCCAAAGAACTTTGCCCAGGGCTGTCACTCATGCACCACCAGTGCTGGCAGGCTGCTGAACAGCCAGTAAGCACACACAGGGAACCCCACCCCAGGTACACCCATCTTAACAACAGGACATCACATATTGGTGCTGTTTCTTTGCCTTCTCAGATCCCACTGATGCCCTTTCTAGTGTTGGCAGATAATATGTGTAGTGATTAACAGGGGCAACTTCCACAGTGACTCTCCTAACAGCCTATCACTGAGTCAGCTTTGGTTTCAGGGAGCACATTGTCTTGTATTTGTTTTATGATTCTGAATTATTTCAACTAGAGAAGCTATCTATGTTCATTCTGTTAATTTTCCTTCCAGCCATGCTAAAAGCAAGAGTCTCATGTTTGTGCTGGTGGGGAAGCTATGTTCAGCTTCAGATGTGAACAACTAAATTCTGCAGTTGCAGAAATACAGGTCATGCTTAGTAGGAGTTCCAGATCATCTAAGTTTTTTAATCAGTAGCTTTTTCTGTATCTTTTTGGATTTGTGACCCAAAAAACCAATAAAAATCTAAAAATACCATTCTTGAATATAAACCACRTATTTTACACCTTTTTCTTTAGAATCTAATAGAAACATACTCAACTGCTCAGACAAAGCTAGGCTTGGCACTTTTAATTTGTTGTTGCCATTCATTGACCTGGTACCTTTTCTCACTCTATGAACTAGAAGGGTTTACCCAAAATATCTGGCTCCTGTAACTTGCCTTATACCCACTAGTGTTGATGTGGCAGAATAGCAGCCTCACTCCTCCGGCATGGGGAATTCAAGGAGCCGTTACCTAGCCCCTTTCTGAGCCCGTTATCCTTGGGTTCCCAGACAAAGCAATGGCTCGGACTATAGCACTGGGATACCAATGTACTTTGGACAGAAAAAGGCAATCTTCCCAAATGGCTCACTGTCTGTAGTTCACTTACTGGTRGCTCATGCCACAGTGTTATGCCATGAAGACTTATTTCTGGTCAAAGAGAGAGAGGAGAATCTGTAAAATTTACTTTTCAAGAATGCTTAATCTATTCTTCTGTATTTCACATGTTCCCAAAGGACTACTGTGTATTCCAAAAGTTATTTTGTGACAGATGGTAGGTACTTCTCACTTGAACTATGCTATTGCAAGGATGCTACAGAGCCAACATTGTATAATGAATCAAACCTGCAAAATCAGGTATCTCCCAATGGCTCCAGCATGTGGGAATGGTCTCTTCTGTTCCATTTCAAATCCGCTGCGCATTAGCTCAGTTCTTTAAGGAATTACTTTTAATAATAATTAAAAAAAATCTTAAGAAAGCTGGAGGGGTCACCAGAAGAGAAAGGATAGCTTTTCCATCCATCACCTTTTATAGATATCCTCTAGCCACTTTTCATCATCTTCTTCCTCATCATCTATTGGCTCCTCTGTTTCCAGAGGAGAAGGAATGAAGAACTCAGGTCTGGGACGTGGTTTCCTGATATGAGACTTCAGTCCAAACTTGCGCTTTAGCAGGTGGAATTGTTCTTTGACATAGTAATAAAACTCATACTCGTATCTCATGCGCTGGTAGAGGATCTGTATTGCTTCTGGAGAAGGGACGGTCTTTTTCACTGTCACAGTGAGATTGCCAAGTTTCCTATGTTCTGTAAAGAAATAATAGCAAGCAACATGGGGGATGATTAGTGAGACCAGATGTAAATTTTTTAATTAAAATATTAAGGCATGATCCTACCACATTACTGATACAAATGAGCTCAAKCTGCTTCTTTAATAATGGATTTACTTTTAAGAAGACATGAAAAAATACAGATGTTAGAAGTCAGACTCGCATATTTGAATATGGCTACTTCACAGATGCCATTTCGCTTGTCTGCAGTCATGGAAGATGTTAATTGTCAGTAGTTATCTGAAAATGAAAACAGGTCATATGAATTATGAGCATAAGCTACACATACAGAAACCCATGATCTTGCTTGGCTTTGGAAATTTGATGTCAGGCACACCACCGAGCTTAACTAATCAATTACTTCCTATGTGGCATATGGTGACCTGTCTCAGCTGTGGTTTACTAGAGTTAAACTCAAACAGGTATTTGTCAACCTGAATCCATCTCATRGCAGCACCAAAGGGTTATTGGCATCACCACAAGACACCTCAAGATCAACTCTGCCTGTTAACTTTCTCATTCTATAATACTTATTAATGRAACTAGACTCATCTTTCTGTCATGCCCTGGGACTGGAAGACTTCACTGTTTTTTTGTTCACCTGACAACTTTTGCTTTGGTAAACTGAAATACAAACCTTTCATTGTTGATAAAAAATAAGAGTTACTAACAAAAATACTGAATTATCTCTGCCTTCTCTCTCAATAGGTGAGTYTACCATTGGCGATGAATGCATTTGAACAAGGGGTAAAGCAAACTCATTTTGCTCTTCTCTACATGGCAATAGGCTGCCAGAGCACCCTAAGTATTTTCATCCTAAGTATATCATATGGGAACCTAATTCTTATTAATTCTATAAGAGAACTAGTTCTTCAAGTCAGAAATATTCAAAAAGATCAGGCCATGAAGGATGGCAAAGAAAAAGCTTACATAGAGGAAGCAGACAACAAAGAATACTTTGTGTTTCCAACTGGGTTCCAGTGGCAGCAACCACCATTACTTCCAGAGGGAGTTTCTGAATCAAAATATGATTTTACCACAGACAGAGTTTTGTTCACATGGGCAGAATAAATTGAGGTCTTCTGAAGCACCTGCCAGCAAAGCTTAACAAATGCTTAACATCTCTACAGAGAAACATGTTTTCACAATTACTTACAAATAAAGCTAAGGGATGCAGCAATGGCTTCTAGTAGGAAAAGTGAGWTTTTCATGAGATCCCACAAGCAGTATGCTTATCCAAGAGAAATAATCAAGAATAACATTTTAGGAAAGAGAGGAATTTTMAACAAATATGAATCCTTTTATCCCAAGAGGTAATAAAATACAAGCAAGTCCATATAGCAAGTGCAACAGCAATGATTTTTAGACAAAAAGTTGGTATGAGATTTTAAATCTTGAAAAATACARCAGATGGGCAGAGCACACCAGTGAAGATGAACTACTTTCTTTAAATTGTAGAAGTTTAATATCCATATGGCTTAGGTATYCACACTTGTAAACAAATTTGTTTTTCAGTCAGTGGACACACATTTTCCTCCTTCKGAGTAAGGGAATTAAGGGGAAACAACTCTGAACATTTTAATACTACAKGAAACAAGTGCTGCTGGGCTGGATGTCTTCTTATTCACTGGACTTAATTGTGTCACACCCATCTGGTGCAGAATAAAAAATTTATATCTGAAATAGGTATTCTCCCTGTCAGTTTTGTTTACCAGCTGCAGCAGAGTATTGGAAATGCAGGAAGAATGATACAAAGAGAGGATATGTTAATTAGCTTACCCAATGCAACAAAAAAAATATCCAAAGCATTAATTCTATTTTGCATCTATACTTCTAATTCTTTCTTTGAAGGAAGAATGGTTCTTATTGGTTGGTAACTATTAAAACATACTACTATGTAATTAAATAACTTTGTAGTTAACTTTGTAGTTAAGTAACTTTGTAGTTTTTTATACCRAAATCCGTCTCTACTCATATATCTAAGTAATTAAACAATTTTGTGTAATACACAGATGTCTCTATTCTTTAATTACAGTGATGTCCAGTGAAATATGCTCTATATTTACTGACTGGTTATCAATTGTTTAATTTAGATAGTAGCGAAATGATTAAAATATACAAAAACAGAATTAGAAAGAAAGATGCAATCTTTAATGTGYTATTTGGCTAAGAAAAAGTGTAGAAAAAGGATAAGGAAATGCATTTAAAACAGACGTTATCATAGAAAGCACAACCTGTAATTAGCGATTAGCATGAAGTATTTTTGCTGAAAATATCTGGGTTCCTCAAGAGCTTATTCTCTTCTGCACCACCTTTACCCATGGACCAGAATAGACAAACAAATGTCTCCTCTTGCYAAATTCTAAGTTGTGTTGTTGAAGTTACCTTCAAATTGCCATTGATGGGTATGAGATGACTACACTACAGGAAGGCCACTGTACTGTCCTTGGGAGAGAAGAAAACTACTTTCTTATGATTACTGAGCACTTCAAGACATTCCTCTTTCTTGTGCTTAGCTGATAGCTCCTGCCAGCTTTGCAGTCTGGTTTTCTTTACAAAAYCAGCAGCAAATATACACTGTTAAATATTGCATTTATTAGCTTAAGCCTTTCTACTGCTTGCCAACTTGGTTTTTATTTTACGTAAGTTATTTCTGTTACAGCAAACTCCATTTAGCTCACTGGAAAAAGCTCTTTACTTATATGGTCCCTCCAGGACTCTAAGTGGGAAAAGCCACTTTCACAGCTCCAGCTCCCTTCGGTGGYTGCTTCTCCCAGCAGAGAGGGGCATTTGTGCTTAGCCCAGGAGCGCTGCCAACGACGACAAGGTGAAAAGAATGGGATTGTTTTCTTGGGCGGGGGGACAGTCTGTGGAGGGCAGGAGCAGCCAAAGGCAGTGTCCTGGTACTTTGCAAGGCAGGCAGCAGCCCGGTGCTCTGTGCCACCTTTGCAGCACAATACACTCCTCATCTGAATTCGCTGTGGCAGTGGCACAGGGGTTTCTGTATGTGTACAATTCTGTGCTCTATCCACACACACCTATGTCTATAGAAGCACATRCACAGACAGAAACACCCACACTCTGGAAGGCTGCAGGAGCAATGTGAATTTTCTGGCTCCTGTTTGCTTGCCTTGCAGCACAATCATGCAATGCATGAAGAGCTATGAGGTGTGGGCTGTTGGATGGCGTGAGTTGGGGCTGTGCCTGGATGCAGGCTCAGCATTTTGATAAAACAAGTGAGCTCTGCTGCTTTTTGAACTTGAACTTTATTTAGACTGGGTTTTAATCTTAAATACTCTTAAAAGGCTCTCTAATACAAATATGAATGAAATCACAAAACWGCCCCTTGAAGTCACCTCAACCACCTCTTACCATAAAAGCAAAATGGAAAAATAGGTAGATCTGGCCTAAAGCCAAAATACCAATCTGCATATGCTACATAAACCCAGCTGTCCCACCRAAGGACCCATGTGATGACCTTTGAGACAGCTAACCAGATGCAGGGCAACAAACTACACCCTACTTCTTAGGGTTATTTTTTTTTAAATGTGTTTGCTTTGGCATTCTTTTAAATTACTGGAAGAATGTACTATACAGTAATGCAACCTCCYAGTGCAGCCTGCTCATACCTTGAATTAAGACTAAAGAGGTATGCAGATAGGAATGAAGAAAATTAAATTCTTTTGGGTTACCAGTTGATGAATGTTTATAGTTACTTTCCACACTCTCACTTTTTTTCTTTTTTTAACCTAAGGAATGGACATTACTCACTGCAGCAATCCAAACCATAGGGAAAAGTGAGTTTTATAATTTGTGGCTCCAAAAACCTTGAATTGCCATATTTAGACAAAATGATTCTAAAGGCATTCTCTACCATTTCAGACTGATGTACTCTCCAGTGTCCTGCTGTTTTGGTGGGCACCATGCAGAGGTTGCTCCTCAGCACTGATCCTGGATGAAGCCAAAGGGAGCCCAGACCTGGGGGTCCCTCCTGGAGAGGTGAGGCGAGCTGGTGGCAGTGCAGGGTGGCTGCAGGCCGGCAGAACTGTGGGCTTGCCTGGTTAAGGCTCGTGGTGGGAGAACGCCAAGCCAAGCTGTTGTGCTGGCATGGCTGTGCCAACACGATGGCTGCCACAGACATAGCAAATTCATTTCCTGCAGGGAAGCCCCGCATTTCAATTGTGTGCAGCTGAGCTACAGCACATGCCTACTTCTCCCGAGTTTTAAATGGAAATAAATGTGTRTCACTGTGGTTAGAAGTGACGTACGAGGGCCTCTGCTTGATCTGCCTCTCACTGCTGCAGTGCCAACCAGGGCTCTGATGGCTATGTTAGAAATTATGTGCCCCGGAATACTTAACTGCAGCTTAGCAAAACATTTTCTTGCACAACAAACTTGCTTTTCAAACTCAAAATTTTTAGCCTGGCTTTTGAAGGGTATCTGGAAAAGGAGAACAGATGAGACACCAATGCGTTGGGTTCACATGTCTTTCCAGTGACGACAGGGCTACTGCCACTCAGGAGCCTCAACCCAGGGCAGGTCCCTGAATCCAAGCTGGAGGAGGGRTGGCGTGCTGCAGCCACGCTGCACGATGGAGCACTGGAGCACCTTGCTTAGGCTCACATTTGTTAAAGGAAAGCAGGGATGGTGGAGAAAACCTAACAGAGACACTGACCAGGCAGGGATATATTAAAAATCAAAACTAAAGGAAAAGTTAATTTGTCCTGTAGAATCTACTAACTTTCTCTGAAATACTATGAATCCCATATATTAACCTTTTTACTGCTAGTTTACTCTTTGCTCAGTTATTCACCTCAACAAAATATGGTGTGATAATGACACGCAGATAAAGATTAGACCCTCACGTGCATACTGGGCACAGTTATGCCAGGCTCACTAGCAATGTCTGCTCTGTTTTAGCACTTCTGTCCTGAATTGCTGTGCTGCTTTGGTGACATGGACCAACTCCTAACTCCA